CTATCGGATATTGTCTTTGTCTTTCGCATAGTTCCTGCGTGTCCGTTGCGAATCGTTGTCAATACCCCAATATATCCTTAACCTCAATGGTTGAGGTTGTGGAGTCTGCGTTGCGTATTAAAATTAGTTATTATAATAATAATATGTAAAATGTACGCGTGTGATAATAAACCGCATAAATTCACAAAAGAAACACGCGAGAATAATTTCAGTAGGTATTGTTGTCTTAACCGATTAAAAAATCACACCGGTCATTTTTACATGAACCTCGGACTCTGTATATCATATAGGTATATATTCGATCGATTTTGTAACATTTTAGTTGTTTTTCTTATTTTCCAGTACGTAATCTTAAGATTGAATGAATAGGTTTTCAAGTACTAGGTACTCGGTAATTGAGGAAATCGCGTAGAAAGTCGATGAGAAATGTAGAGGAAACGTTCAGAAATATATCAGTCACATACGTCCATACACTTCCTTATTACATTACTATTGTGATCAAAACATAAGAAGCGCAACATGTGTTCAAAGAAACGAATTCACGCATTATTATTATTTTGATGGACATTGACTGTTTGTGAATTCACCATTATGTCATAGTTCTTTGTCTCGATTCGTCCACCCGCCACTGCAGAAGTATGCGAGCAAAACGTGACCGCCGTGACCGTGACTCTAACGTGTTATGAACGTGATGAGCAATAATAACATACTCGATAGAAATGGATTTACCATCCATTCTGCGATTTTTGACATGATCATCTATTCTTCTACTGTGGTTCTGGTCACCGAGCTAAACCGTCAATCTTTTTTTTGGACACAAATAACCACAATACCAATACATACATTCAATTTTTAATCATAAATAACTACTAAATTATCATTATTATGTATAGATAGTTGTTTTTTTTTAATGTAATAAGATCGACATACGATTTTTTTTCACACCAATTTTGTGTTACCAAAATTTAAAACCATCTATGCAAAATAAAGATTTATTTTTTTAGCTTCCATCATAAATTCATAAGTCATTGTAGCTTTACGAAAACAGACGGTCCTACGAGAGGAAAACTGGTGGATCAGCATATAGTTCATCAGACATTACACGTTGCCACGGTCTTAGGTATATTATACTTATGTTAACATTAGTATTTTATTAATTTGGTAGGTACATTGAACTAATTTTGACTAAAGTCATATTATTACATTTTATAACTTATAAGCCAATACCACAGACCATAGACGTAGCATAGAATAAAATCCAATAAAAAAATGTACAGCTTTAAAATAAATATAAAATGTATGTTATTACTTATTAGATTTCCTTGTCTGCGCAAAAAAACAATGAACGTAATGATAAAGCTTTAATACTATTGATTGAGTATATATTTTTAACTAAAAAAAAATAAACAGGAAAAATTGAAATTTATTGCTAAGACTTTTTAAAAAAAAATGTGAAAAAATATTTTGATATTTTAAATCTTTTATAATAACCACTTAAGAAATTAACCTATTATTTAATTTTCGACCATTTTGACGGAGAAACAAAAATGCTATCTTCATAAATCGTAAAAAAAATCGATATCCCAAATGTCATTAATAATGTATTGAAAATACCAATTTAAATATTAGTGAAAATGTTAAGTCTCTAGTAATCCCTTCTGAATGAAAACTAAAAACAAAATCGATTTGGTCGAAATAACTGGTGTTGTGTAATAAATTACTCCCCCATTTTCAATTTTTTTTGTTTATTTTTCTCGATTGTTAAAACTGGGTTTTTCTATAAATGATCCCTAGTTTCTAACGGTTGAAATTTGCTGATCGAAACAAATTTTTTGTTAGTAAAACAAATCAATAATAAAACATATTATATAATTGTAAAATCAATACATTCCTAGCTCAATTCATAAATATAAATCTAAAATAATGAAACACATTTATTATGTAACTAGTAAGTATTTGATTGTTGTTTATGAAAGTAGAAATAAATGAATAAAACAATAAAATAAACATTCAGTAGGTAGGTACCTACATATAAGACACTTAGATAAGACAAAACTTATATTATGATAATACATATGGTTATATTTATACAATTATTATTATTTGTACATTGAATTCCTTGTGGAATATAATTAAAACATTTTAAACAGTAAACATAGAATGCGCAGTAAGTATATAGCTTTTTTAATTAGAAGTATACAACACATACTGACATACATCATAACCGTATTATTATTATTATTTTATTTTTTTTATCACTGTGGACACCAGGAGGGTTATTGTACTCATGCTAAGTCCATGATTAGTGGATGTATGTGATTTTAGAATCGATTTATAAAAGTTTTGTTCCATCAATTGCGAAGGTTCGTTTTTAAGTAAAAATTAAACAAACATTATTACTGTTCAAATTTATTGTAGGTACCTATTTATAATGATAATATTAATTATAGACTACCTAATCTTTAATTTCCTCTTAATTCCTATTTAAAGATATTTAAGTATCAGTTGTTATCGGTCTACATTGACTTTTCTAATAAAAGTAATTATTTATTAATGTCTGTAATTACAGTCCAAATTATATTATAATTATAGACGGTAGTACGGTACTTAAGAGACAGATTATTGATACACTTTGTCTCTTTTACTTTGTTAATAGTACCGTACATTTGTATACAATAATTAAATTCTATTTTAAAATAATTTGGTTTTTGTATCTTCTATTAAATGTATGTACTTATAGATTTTTAGTAACATAATATGGGGAAGAAGATACACGTGGCTTTTACTTTATACCAACATTTTACACTTAAAATTATTTTGGAGTTTTTAAGATAATTTTCTGTGGAAGTGACCCAGTAGTGATTAGGTAGTGACCCGAATTACTATACGGCAACATATACATATTTTACGAATATAAATGTTAACTGAACATAAAACTACTTTAGTTTGTTTTGGATTATCGGTGTCCCATGCATATTAGCCAAATATAAATTCTGAGAATTCTTTCGGCGTAAGTAGGTTCCTATTAACTAAGTATACGTGGTGAAAATATTATTATTTTTTTTTTTTGACCGATTATACTTATCATGTGAGGCCTATAGGACGTTTTAAATATGCTGTTTTTGAAATGAACCGGTTTATTTATAATAAATAAAATTAATAAAAAAACAAGACGTGAAAGTCTTGAAATTCTTGTGTTCATAATGTTCATATATTATACTAAAATTTAAGTTGAAACCGTTAAAGAGTCACCAATTTCTAACTGAATTACTGTAGAACTAATAATGATAAGCAACTTTGCAAAGTCCTTATTATTTGTGTGCAATGAACTGCCTAATTTGTTTATTATAACATTTATAACTTACAAGTGGTTGGTTTATAGTGGTTTATTAACTTCATACAGGTAGGATAATATATACGGTGAAGTGCGGTGTAGAAATAAATAAGTGTAATAAATATATTATATTGTTTATAATATACAGAGCATCAGCTGCAGAGGCACCGAAAGTTGGTTTTGCCTATGAAAAATTAATAATAATATACTAAATTAATTGTTGGTAATTGTGGGTTAGTCGTGGGTGGGTGGGCGCGAGTGCTTTGCTTTAAAAATAATAACTATGTCATAGGTAGGCGTTTCAAAAGACACCGACGCCTCTGGACATCAGAATATTATGTAAACACGTGCTGGCGAGCTGTAAGTGATAAATATATTTATACATGTGATGCGTATTAATATTCAATTCGGTTAGAACGACACTCTAAACCCTTACTTAAAGGGTTTCGAAATACGGTAAACGTACCTATCTATATATTATATTTGCACAGTGTATATTACGTATACAGGTATATTACAGGTACCTACATTGTGTGTTTGTATAGTTATCGAATTGATGGCGATAAGTGTTATTATAATATCAAGATATATTATGTACAACACGTCCGACTACCTCGCAGTTACCACCCAATAAGGGATGAGAAAAACGTAAACAACACTGCAATAGTCGACAATGAGCGTCACGACGATTGTTGATATTATTACATAGTTGGTAGGTACATTATAATATTATTATATAGTTTGGTTCGCATAAATAACCTAAGAGAGAAAGAGAGACGAATGAGACTAGTTTATTAATATTATAATAGTACAATATTAGGTATGTATATAGTAAGTATGGGTTAAGATTTATATATTATGCAATATAAAATGGTAAAGCGTGCATTTAATTTTGTTCAAATATATTATGCTAAGATATGCGATGAAAATATACGACTAGTTTATATTACCACTAGATATTCCAAACTATCATCAAGCGAATAATTTTCAAACAAATCGAATAAAGTTACTTTTCATGTATATGAGCTAAATCTGTTTTGATGGTCTTATACTTTTGAATATATATCCATATAGCACTTTAATTTTTTTTCTTCAATGCGATGAATAACAATGATTTTATAAAAATCGACATTTACAGCTTCATGTACGCAATGTATGACGCAACTACGTGCTACTTCCCTTTTCACTACTTTCGTTTGAATAAATAAACATCCCATAATAAATACATGCATTTTCCGTTATTACAATATAGCTGTGCCTTGTAGTCAAAACACGCAAAATGAAAAAATATATTATTTATATCGACATAATATCACGAGACACTTCATTGTGGACAGTTACGTAACTGATCTGCACATTCGTAAAAGGACGCTGCCAATAAAGACATAAACGATCAACGCATCTAAATCTTAATTCCTTTAGTCCAGTGGCTTTTATCAGGAATTTCAATTTGAAGAAACATTCAATATTTTACTTATAAGTATAAACAAAGCTACCTAAACACAAAGTTGAATTCAATTTTGAAAATTTTGATTTTTCAGGTTTTTGGGGGCTTTTTTAAATTATTTATCCATTTTTTATGGATTAATCTAAAGTTATTTAGATGGGTAAGTACAGTACTACAAGAATATCGAAGTTAAGGACGTTAAAGTGCTATTATACTCACTCATCATTTGCAACACAAGCAGAATACTGAATCCGAACATTATGGACAACAGGTGCAAGAATCCCGACTGTTTGTGCCTGGCGAGCACCTCGAAGAACACAACGTACAGCAGCGTGCCGGCCGCCAGTCCCTGCAGGATAACGGCCACGCGTCCAGGAGACCCGTCCACGGTACCGCCAGTTCCGCACTGCACTAGCACCATGCCGATCACGATGCCCACGGGTGTGACCACTGCGAATGTAGCCACATACATGACGAGCACAGGCCGCCGGGTCTTGGACCAGGCCAGTTCTAGGCCGATGCAGAAGGCTATGACTAACTTGTGCGTGGCGACGGCGATGAACAGGTACCACACGTTGTCGACGCGCTCCTCCAGCCCTATGGCCAGGCCTTCGAACACCTCGTGAAACGACAGCGCCAGCACGGCAAACAGGCCACGGAACGAGTGGCCACCATCGACGTCCCCGGGCCCGCCACCGTTTTCCAACTTCATTTGTTTCTCCGTGTCATCGTCGCCGATTCGTTGCTGGTGGTGCGCGAACCGGGTGGATGGCGGTGCCATTGCCCCAGACTCCCGGGCCGCTGATCGGTACCGCTTGTCGTGTGGCTTGTACGGCATATCGTTCTGCAACAGCTCCTTATTGCTGGCCACCGACATGCCGCCCGCCACCGACGGAACGGAGCTGGGCGAGCCACCACTGCCGGCCAGCGAAGCCCTCGGTATGGACATGGTCCGCCGCCTCAGGCTCATTGACCGGTGCAGCACCTCCTCGGCGGAGCTGCGGTCCACGTGACCGGCCGCGCACCGGTCCAACACAGAGTGGACGATTTCATCCACGATGAATACCATGAAAAACCCGGCACAGAATATCAGGTCCCCCAGATGCTCGGTGCCCTGTCCGTTCGGCAGCTGTCCGGATTTCTGCAACCGGCCGACGCCCTCCCGGACTTCGGGCTGCAGGTGCAGCAGCGTGGTGAACAGCAGCACGCCGCCGCCGAAGCACAGCAGCAGCGACACGGCGGGCGAGCCGGTGGCCGAGTCACCCCCATGCGAGTGGCCACCGATTTGGTGTGATGGCGTGGCCGCCGCTGGGTCTTTTCTCCACCACTTGGTCAGTTTCAGGGGCACGACGCCCAGCACGAACGAGCCCAGGCCCAGGACGAGCATGGCGAACGTCTTGGCCACAAATATCTGGTCGACGAGCGCTGACGTACTGGTCGCCGTCGCGTCGTCCGACACTATCACCGTCTCAGCCATGATGTCGCCCGGGGTGCGCTATATGATTGTTAAAAGCTCTGTTGCAGGTATTACAATATTATTATTGATGTTACCGCCGCGCTATTGACTAAAATCATACGCCGCCGTCGTCGTTGTTTTTGTTATTATTTCGTTCGAATATGACGAGTACTATATTATTTTTATTATTATAATACGTGAGAGAAAAACGCGCGCGTAACGCGCAAAAATACAAAATATAATAATAGTTGCAGCGTGCGTGTGCGCGGGCGCGCGCGCCTACCACTCCGCTCGGTGAAACACTGTCGACTTCACAGCGGTCAAACGCCGTCACTGCAGCACAGATGACGATCCCGTGCACCACCCGAAACGATGACCGTCGGCGAACGCATAGCACGGCACCAGTCACAGCACTGAGCGAACACCTCGAACGCGGACGCCGGTTACTGCGTGTGTGCCGTGTACGACTACGGACTAGGTCCGAACGTGGAGAACCGCGTCGCGGTGGCGTCTACGACGGCGGCAAACAACCACCTCCACCGCAGCCGCCGCCGCTAGTCACTTCCACCGCCACCGTCGCCGACGCTACACATCGTGTACCACACTACCACTACTACTACTACTACAACAACAACAACAACAACAACAACAACACGCACGAAAATAATATTATAATTTTTATACACCTATAATACTATTATTATTATTATTATTATTATTATTGTACCACACCAAATAACGAGTAGGTAGTTTCCGCATCTTTCTCTCACCGTCGCTCACGTGCACATGATAAATTACATGTACGCGCGTACTGTCGTTGTCGTTGAGTTGCATTGTTGTTGTCGATCATGCGAGAGCAAAATCGATCCGACCGGATGGACCGAGTAAAATGTTTAAGCTAGTGTCGACGATGACGCATGCGTCGGCCGGACGGATAAAATAATAATATAATAATTATAGGTAATATTGCTGCAAAATTGTGTATGATTGTCCATATTTGGGTAGATAGTGAATATTATGACACGCACGATGATGCAAGCCCGGATTAAGACATTTAGAAGACCTAATTTTTCGACGAGCCCCTCAAAAATAATAAATACAATTTTATTCTGATATTGTGAATCATTGTATGTTAGTAGGTAGGTACAGTTAAATTAATTATAAATTTAAAAAAAAAAATGTATTACTTTGTTTTTAATTTTCCGAATTCTGTCATCATTCGATCATAGTGTTTCTTATTTCCAAAACATGATTTTCAGATGACAATAATATCGCATAAACGCACAATTTCAGGAGGGACGTCGCCTCTTCCGATTTTCAATGAAAACGTAGCCGGTTGTTATAGTTTGTAACTTTCAGTAAAATCTTTCTATATTACAATAATATATTTAGATAGGCTTGAACTATTGTGTTTTTTTTTTTGACACAAAAAAAATCCACGCCTTTTTGATTTTATATTTTTTAAAAAAACAAAATGAAATGTACTGATATATCAACCCTCTTGTTTCGCCTTTCGGAGCATTACTTTACGTCCCTTCGCCACAATCACTGCATCCACTTCTACGCTCTTTTATATTATTATTTGACCGTTTCTGTTGAACAAAGAGAGTATAGGTTTTAGGTACATAATAGAATAACAAATATAAAATATAATGAAAATTCTCAGCAGACTATAATAGACTCTAGACTCTTAAGTCAATATGCCGGGTACCTGTCAATATTGGTATAATATCGTCCCGACGTCTAGAGTCTAAACTAACATTCTAATATTACGAATCTATGCTCTTAATTTCACAACTCGTGTTTTAGACCATATTATCTATTATCCATTCCACGAGAGAACGGGACTGTTTCGAGCATATCGAAAGATCGACAAGTCCCTTCAAAGTTAAAATCCCCTCCACATAACCACCATGGCATAACTGTATGGAAATTGGGGACCCGACGTTTTAGTCTTTCCGTTCTCTGTGCACGCAAAATAGTATGTTCAGCTCAATATATATAGAATGTTTGCACATCGCTATTGTTACGAATGACCTTTTTTGGAGGCCGGTTTTCAAATTTCTCACCTGAGGTACTATAATGCTGCGCAAACGACAAACTCCGGTTCAGCGGATGCAAACGCAAAGAATAAAATGCAATTTAGTATATAGGTAACCATTAACCATGCGTCCATGCTCCTGTTCTAAGGCGCTTAATTTGAAAGCATGATAAAATGTATTTACCAAAATTTGATTATTCCATCATATTCAACACCATAATAAAATACTATATTTTATTAGATATATACCTACTAACTATAAAAAAAATCAAAACAGTAGTTTTTACATTTCTATTGACGCTATCACCTACCGAAATGTTTGCAACTTTTTTTTGTTTAACTTCTAGTCTATGAAATAGCGAATTTTCAATCACTTTCAGATTCAATGTCTTAAAAGTTAAAACACATATTTTGAAGAAAAAAAAATGATTGAAAAATAGGCATGATATTAAAATTACATTTATGGGTACCAAAAATAATTAACACCAAATATTCGGAAATACAAATAGTTACCTGAAAGTTACCTTCGATAGTAAAAAAAAGCTAGAGAAAAGTAGGGAAAAAGAGTTTTTGTAAATATAGTTTGATTTTTTCTAAACCTCAGTGGGCACCCCTAGCTGCATAGTTAACTCTATTTGATCTTTCAAGTGCACGCTTTCCATTTTATGCCACTATAGATACCTACATATTAAATATTATGAGTAGTATGACGATTTAATGATAACGGATAAACATGCTCACCGCCAACAGGTCCTTTCTCATCGGTTAGACAACGCACATGTGCATATATATATATAAATAAATTATCAAACAGTCAACCGCTGCTTTCATGTTCTTATTTCGATCGATAATTAATCAGGCATTCGATTTGAAATATATAAATGCGCGATTGGTCATTGACGTATGTATATTTTTTTATATTCGTGCAGATATATTTGTTCCAAGTTTTAAAAGAACCTTACTAATAAGATATTACAAGGGCATTAATAAATATATGATAATTGTAGAAAGTTTAATAAGAGAAAATGCAAACGTCTAAGAGATATATCGAAATTTTTGGCACTTAGAAAATGGTGGTATAGCCACTTATATTTATAAATTTATAAAAACATAATATAAACTGTACAAAAAAAAATGTTTGTAAGTTAATAAATAATTTTGTTTTTGAAAATATTTATGAGGTCATTATAAATACGAAATCAATAACTTATATTTTGCCCTAAATTATTATAAATTTTCTAATGATATAAAATAAATATCTATCATAGGACCACATATTATGGAGTGTAAAATATACAAAATGTTATTTAAACATTTGTAAAAGTATAATTTTAATTCATTACTTATGCATATGAATATAATATATATATATAAATAAATAATAATATAAAACTCAGTCATAATAATCTGAAGTCAGGAATGTTTAATATGCATATTTAATATTGTATAATATATTTATATGATTTATAAATACAAGAGTTAGAATAATAATAAATTATTTTTTAAATTCCAAGCGAAGCTGCGAGGTGAATGTAATTTATAGCTAAAAATAGCAATATTAAATGCTATTGAGAGCTTTTCGTTTTAAATATGCCGAAGAAAAAAAAATTACATCCAGAGTTAAATGTTGAAAAAATATTTTAATGCCTCACAGAGGCAGAAAAAAATTTGTCTATGTTTTGTTAAAAATTAATATTTATTTGTTATTTCAAAAACACTACTATACAGTTTCGGTTTGTTTTAAAAAAGAGAGAAATTAATGTAGTATCTACATAGGTACCTATTAGAATACTAAAACTAAATAAGCAAAAGAACCAGTAGAATATTATAATTTACTACAAAACATAGAAAAGAGGATACAGAAAATGAATTTTTTTTTAAATGATAGAAATTTACGTAAATACATCTAGAAACATCCAAGGGTCATTGGATAATAGGCCAGATTGTTATCACCAGAAACAACATGGCTGTGTAACGGGATATCACAGATATGATCTTAGAGTACCATATAAGTATTTTTCAATATATATACCAGCATATTATTGAACATATTATTGACTCCCTTTACGCTGATATTTTTGTTTTTATCATCAAGTAGTTGGTGAAGAAAGGGTATATTATTCAATAACCTGGTTTATTTCAACCATATGGTCACTCTAGTTTTGAGTAGGGTAGATAAAACAGAATAATCATGATATTGATTTAATAAATATCTGTGAACGTCTGTGAATATCTTTTTGGTAGTTGAAAATGTGATTCGTATAAATCATAGTGATTTATTTCAAAAGAAAAAATTGTATCAATTTTTACCAACTGTAAGTATAGGTATAACAGCTAGAAAAGACTAATTTTAGCTATACCTATTGAAAACAATACTGTAAAACACAAGTCACTCAAATCTTTTCACCAATGATTATTTTAATGACGTCCATGACCACAATAACTACGCCTTACATTCACAGGTTAAACCGCCGCTCGTTGACCACAAGACTTTTTTCGGTATATGTACTGTACGGGGTATATACCAGTTGTAAATTGTAACTCATATTATATGTAGTGCTTAGGTATATATTATATGTTAATATGTTAAATTGTTATGTCTAGAGACTATTGAGTCTAGAATCCAGTATCAGTAATAGTTATTCTATTTCTGTAATGAGTGTTCACTCCCACTGAGCTTTCGTTGGACTTTGAAGAATTCACATAAAAGATATTAATATTTTTAAATGATACATAAATAAATTATAAACATTATACCATGTATTAATAATAGGTATAATATATATACCAGAATGAAGGGCTTGGAGTGAAATGCGAATAAAAGATATTTCAGGAATTGAATTTTGCATAATATACGTAGGTACCTATATGACAAACTATATTGTGCTATTGTAGTGTATAGGTATACTGGATTTATTTTATTTAAATTGGTTATTATTTATTGTATTTCTTATTTTTTTCAATAGTTTCCAACCCACAACGTACCTCGTAGAACACCGAATATGTTCGTAATAAATTAGTTTCAGCAACAAGTCTCGACAGCTCCTGGATGGTAAAAATTAATATTTTCGAAATGTTTTGTTTGTGAATATTTAGATCGCTGTACAAAGTATGAATTTGTAAGACAACTTTTGAAATTCACACGAAACTCCTAACCCCCTTGAAATCCTAATTACCTGGAAGACACCTCAAACACGCAATTCCCTTAATTTCCCTTAAGTAGTAAAAATTAACATTTTTCAATTTTTTTGCCAATGATGAATTTGAAAGTCCATAGTTTTGAAATGCACATGACACTCCTCCCCCCTAAAAATCTGAATCATGTCGAATATCCCAGAAACATGTCAATCCATCACATTCTTTTGAAAATTAACATTTTCAGAATCTCTTTTTGCGAATATTTTATTTAAATTTTCTAAATCTAATTTATCTAAATTTTCAAGCCTAGTTTTAAAATTCACTCTACACTACATT